CTGTACTAGGTGGACTACCACCACTTGACCACTTGCCTCTGCTGAACGCAGACTCACTCCGAAAGGCCACTTCTAGAAACCTCTAACTTGGCCTTTMGGTACTGTAGCAGCTACGACCTTGCCCTTTCAGGTAAGTAGCAGCTACGACCTTGACCCTTCAGGCAGTCTACAGCTACGACCTCTAACTGTCTAGACTCCTACCCTACAGGTCTACAGTTCGAATACCTTTTACCCTGTGACCTACGGAAAACTACCTACCACTGGCGGTACTACAGGTAGCAGGTTCAAATCTACGGGTTGACGCCGGTACTGTACACAGGGAAGGTGGGGAACTAGGGATCGAGCCCTGGGAACTGCATAAGCTATTGCGAACTGCTGAATACCGTTTCACATTGCACTCTCGGCTTGGTTTATGACATTTTTTTTTTTTGTTGAAAAAACACCTGCAACAACAGATAGGAGTGATGATACGAGCATGCATTCCTATTTTTTTTGTTGGGGGCTCCAGTCCATTGCTGGGGCGCAACACCTGCTGGAGAACGGGTGCACTGTCCTTTGACATACAATGATAATAATGATGAGATGGTACATCAGCCCATGTTGGGAACCAGGCCCAGCATCCCATATGAAGTCGGTGATAAGCCAGAAACGACACTCAGCGGCTTCAGTACTCTTAGGGGGGAAATCTGACGTAAGCCTCTAAGTACAGATTCTGGTTGATCGAGAAAAGCGGGATCCAATTTTTCTTTTTCTCCAGAGTGGGGGACGGAAAAGAAACTTGTATCTTTTAGAATTGGCCCTAATGATTTTTCCGCGCGGACGGTTAGCGACCCTCTTGTCGATCCCTGGGACGCGCGTACGTGTGGGGATTGTTACTAACTCTTTCCCTCTTCTCCACTCGTGCTATCTGATGATCCGGGTCGATTAGGCTGGTGTTGCTCCACAACTTACTCCACCATTGGGGACATCGGTCGCCGACATCTTCGCGGCACGACTGATACCTACACAACTCGGTCTTAGTCACACTGGCCTAGATAACCCATCGGCGATCCTGAAGCGGGGTCCTCTACAGCCTGACTGAGGCGGAGAGGGTGAGGTGAGTTCCATTGAGCTTTGTATGGAGTCAGTGTTCGCCTCGGCCTCCTAGCCAGTCCGTTGCAGCGTGACACTATCCTTCTCGATTGCAAACGACGACAGCGTGTACTGCGATGCGAACGTATGGAGCGCTCTGCGACGAACCAAGCAAATTCACTTGTATAACCTTGCTAGGGCGTGCCACATATTGATCGGTTCTCCTCCCCTCCCCCGATGCTGCCTTACACAGATTTGACGGTATTACCCTGGTCCGCGGCCCACGCCATAAGGCGTCCTCGGTTAAACTCCCGCTGGTGTCGGCAGGAGGATTCGTGTTCCTGGAGAAGACTAGTCCAGGGATACGAAGGTACAACTCGATTCCCAGAACTCTTCTGCCACGTGAGCGCGCTCCCGGCTAACTTTCAAATCTGGGTTCCCTCAGCCCAACCTATGTCCGACGACACCTCGCCAGGACGCGTGCGAGGGCTCCAGGAATCTGACGCCGAGTCCTTAAAATTCTATATTCTTGGGGGACCGCCACAGAGTTCGTGCGAACCTGGAGCAAAGGGAGCGGTGAATTGTGCTTCCCTGTCCTTTTTTCTTTTTCTTTTCTCTTTCGTTTTTTTGTAGATGGTCGGTCGAGTACCACTTCGCTTCCAATCTCCTTAGTTGAGCATAAGTTTTTGACAACAGAACAGAACGTGTCGCTTTGGAATATCCTCTCTCTTTGTCCCTTGTATCTATTTTTTTTTGCCTTCGACGATGGCTCAAGGCCAAGAGGAAAACGCCTTGGTACGAAACAAGAATCCCTCGTTCCACCCACGTGATTCAACCCCACTGGCCAAAACCCCTCCGCCACACCTCTAATTACTTTGATCGGCGTTCGCGGGTACGGAACGATACGCGGGGTGTGAGGTTGCGGATCACAAAGCTTGCAATCTTTAATCCAACTCAGTCCTAGGAAGCAACTTGGGATGGGGAACTACGCGTGCCTCTTCACCTTGTGAGGTGCAAGAAAGGCATGGCGACCTAACACTATTTCCCTATTTTTTGCAACCAGATTTTAACCAGGTTCATATCTAACACTCACTATGATCCTCATTCAATCATAACCATACCATGACCTGGGGACTAAACAAGGATGGTTTGGAGGAAAAAGATCGGGGAAGTTTACCATACGATAACAACAGTAGTCCAATCTTTGAAAACCAAGCGATAATTCCTTTGCAGTTTTTCTTGAGCATCTTGATCATCTTGGTCATTGCGATCAGTTGTTTGTCCTCCCTCCCTGGTTCCCCCAAAGCTAGCTTTGACTAAATTGTTGAATGTGTTCTAAGCTCTCCTTTCTGGTTGAAAGATGCATTCTTTTATTTTTGACCTGATCCCAATTAGTAGTAATTGT